TCAGGTATAAACATTCAGTTTGGCTAAAGGATAAATGGATTAGATGTTGGTGCTCAAAGGTCAAGTGTTAAGGTCGCTAACGCCTCACAAAACCCTTTTTGCATTGTGAATATGCTTTCTAAAGAACCCTCAAGAGAATCCTGTCAAATTTGGCACAAGTGTTCACAGAGTAATTGATTAGATGTGGATGTCCAAAGTTCATTGTCACAGTGGCCTCACTAAACATGTTTTTGGTCTCTTCAACATTATATTTCAAGTCTACCTTTAGAGAATATGTTAGAATTTTGACCTGTTGTCACTTGGACTAAAATATGAATTGATGAGATGGAACGACTGGAAGAAGAATGTATGTAGTGTGAACTTTGACTGGATAGCAGAGGCATACAATTGCATGGCGCTAATTCTAGTGTCAGATTTCTACCTCTCACTCTTGGGCTTTTGAAAAATTACCCTGTAAAATCCCCCTGTGATGTTGACCAATAATATCATCACTGCTTCATTGCGGGGCAGATGTGTTCACCAGTTCACAAGTTTTTGTGTGTGTGACAAGGTGTGTATATTTAAGAGAATACCTTAGATGCAGAGTTAAAGAGATAGAGAGAGGGAGAGGGAGGGCAGAAACAGAGTGAGAGGGAAAGGAAAAAACAAAAGACAGAGGGTGAGAGCCGGACTGGCTGAGAGAGAGTCTGGTTTTCATTCAGTACTGTGTCTGGGCAGCAAGACTGCTGCTCCACATCTCTCCTTCTTCTTACTCACTGTCTGGAATCAGGCCTGACTGGGAGGGAATTATGGGGACGTCTTCAAAGCGAGGTGCGTATGTGTTGGGGTGTCTGTATGTGTTTGTGTGTGTCCTGACATGCCGCTAAAGACAGAATTTGTGACAGAAGGTCGTGAAAGTGAAAGTAAGTTGTTTGTTACACAGTGAACTCAGACAGCTTCCACATGCAGTCAGCGTGTTTCCTCTGTTCTGTGTCCAGGTGTATCAGTTTCTCCATCTATTGTCCGTTGTGATTGATGAATCACTGATACTACGTCTTCTTTCCACTGAGTTGTGTGAGTTGTGTTTGTGTTTGTCTGTGCTGTCGTTCCACACTACAGTATGTCTGAAGCCTACTGTGCAGACACAGACAAAGGCTCCTGTGTGAGTGTTTGTCGAAGAAACAAATGACTGTTCTGTGCGCGCCTGTGTGTGTTTGTGGGTAATGTGGGGGAGCAGTTGCAGGCGTAGCTAGGAGAACTCAGAGGTTATTTGAGATCATTAGGCAGCTGCCAGCACTCCTGGGCCCAGACTCTTCTCTTCTCTTCTACTCCCTTCTCCTCTCCTCTCCTCTATCAGGCTTTACCATTATAGAGCAACAGTTGCAGACAGCTGGAAGCGAGTCATACTCTTGACATTAGTTGAACAGCTGTTTTATCCCCACGGCCTGTGCCTGAGAAGCGGGGTGTAGATGTGACACAATGGGTGTGCTTTGTTTCAGACCGAGACAATGGCTGCAATTGCTGGGACAACTGAGAAACAGAGCGTGCTACACTCAAACAAGCAAAACAAAGTAAAAGACAGTGAACACTCTTTATTCCTTTTGCATACCACGCCAGGAAAGTGTGCTGTTGTATGCTTCATTCTACAGTAAATTTACACGTGCACCTGTGCTACCTTGGCATGCATGCGTGTGTACGTGCCTATTTGCAATGTTGGGTCTAATTGTTCTGCTCGCTGAAAAGCGGCCTCTGATAGTGGTAACTAAGACAAGAGGATCGTATTCCCATAGCAACAGGAACATATCTTTCCCAAGAGCAGAATTCATTAATTATGCCTTTCTTTTACAAGACCTTTATTTTCTAAGACAGGAATTAGAATGCATGCTCAATTTCCTCCCCGGCACAAGAGCTGCAGCGCCGACTGCATCACCTCTCCAGCTGCTACCCAGACGGCTAATAGAGAAATGCTGTGTTGCCTGGAGAATATTAATATACTCATATCCATGCACACAAATCATGCTCTCATACACAATGGTAATGGTTTTTGTGTGCTTGTTTGTGTGTACCAGTGTGTGCTTTCAAGCGTGTGTTTACACCTTGTGTCATGAACTATTCCCACCATCCAGCAAAACCGTGTTATTTCTCATTCAGTCTTATTCAATCTTATTCAGCCTTGCCTTATTTTCCCTCTATCTGATTATTGTGACTGTGAAGTAAAAGATTACTTATAATCTGTCAGCCTGCGTTTGGGTCCGCGCTCTTGAGTGAGAACCAAAAAGAAGACAAATGAGAGAGAAAAGAAAAGTTGATACTGTGTGTAATAAAACACAGAGGCAAATGAGAGCGGGAGGTCATGGTGGGTTAGTGTCCGAGTGTTTCTTGTACACATTAACATCACTGAGAGAGAGAGATGGTCTTGGGGTCGAAGGCTATTTTGGCCTTTGCCAGCTAGAGCTGCTTTTGTATGAGCAGCAATGGCAGGAAGTCAGTTCATTTATTTGATGAGAAATCCTCCGACCAGTTGTATAATCCTGGTAGGCACACAGAGTGCTCTGATCCACTTTGGGAGCCACCACAAATGGGCTGTACTGGGCATGTGTCATCCTGTTGCTGCTTGTCAATGAGTTTGTAGGGGAGGAAAGCAGTTGGCATATTCACAATGTCATGTAAGTCAGCTTGGGGAAGTTAAACTGATTTAAAAGACAAGTAGAACAGATGTCAAGGGAGTAATAAAGCCTCTCATAAATCAATAACTAATTTTACAATACAAAAAAGTGTTGTTGTAGATTATTTATTGAATATGAATTGATGATTCTATTTTATGACGTATTATGAAAAAGAATGAATGAAATATTAATCTGTAAAATTGGTGAGCCCAGTTATTTATTTATCTTTTAAAACTCTTTTTTAAGATTTCTCTTTTTGTGACAATTTGATTTTAAATTGCTTTTATTGCTATGTATGCAACACATTTAGTCCTCCATACAAGAGATACAAGAGAGTGTACAAGGTTACTCTTTCACTTCTCACCAGAGGAAATATCATCTCTTCAGGTAGTTTGCCTTTGATATTTCTTAGATCTGATATGACCGAATAAAATTGGTCTCTTGCTCGTTGCCGCTAACCGATCTTACCAGATCAATGCAGTGGAGTTGAGAGCACATGTAGAGACACTATATATCAGTCTGAGCAGCAGAGCACGCAACCTCAGCTCATACCTGCAGCACTGTCATCCAGCATTGTGCTTGGTCAGAGGAAGAAATAATACATCTCTGCAATTCTCTCCTCTCCCCCTCAGCATCCCCTGCTCTCCTCCCTTCGTCACCTCCCCCCTTCCCCCGCCGCCTTTTCCACACGCACACACTCATCCTCGGCTCTCTCCTTCTTCCCTCCCTCTCTCAAGTAGCGGTGTATGGAGGAAATAAAGTGCAGGGCTAATAGCGCAGGGGTTTTAATTGTAGCAGAGAAGAGAGCAGTAATGAGGCTGTGCACTGCCTGTCATCTGGAATTCACATGGAGGAAGATCAGGCAGAGTGCCGGGAGGAAACAGAGAAGGATGGTGAAGACAACATGGGATGAGAAAAGAAGGAAGCAGCAGTGTGAGAGATGGAGGGAGGGAGAAGGGAGCAGACAGAGAGAGCTGAGGCAGTCGGTCTGCTGTGTGCTGTGTCAGAGGTTCACACCGGCATCAGCGATTTATTGTTGATCTATTTGGCTCAATAGAAGGCCTTTAGCCTCCCCCCCCACCTCTTTCACACACACACCACCACCCACCCTAGCGTTTAATGTGTTTATTTTTCATTTGTATTCATTTCCTTATTTAGTTTTAATATACAATCAAATTCAGATATTCTGGAAGCTTGAAAATATATTTTGAAGTTGAATGTTTGTGTAAGTCCATGACATATAAAATAAATATTTAGTAGTGCGAAGATCAAGATAGATAATATGGTACGTCTGAATACTGCTAGTCTTTGAGATTATATTGATAACCCTCATAATTAATATTTCTGTTCTCAGGGATTCAAGTTCTGCATTTCTTTCTTGGATTTCTGTCAATGTATGGCCAGAGAGGCCATGTACAAGATCAGTGTAGATCAAAATATGAGTTAGGAACAACAGACCATGTTTACTCACAGCTCTTTATGCTTTCCTGGTTATTACAGTTATAATATAAAACCTTTATGAAACAACATTAGCCTACACAGAAAGATTGTACAACTATTAAATTGGCTTTAAGGTTTGTATTTTTTATTAAAATGCATTACAATGGTAAATCTGCTGTTCAACAGGCCCGTCTGGATTTTTCCCTATAGCGCTGGCTAGTATACACTGACCCCATGGTGAATGGTTTTTTTTTCGATTTTAAGAGATCCTGTTTCTTTGCATATTAACTGAGGATCAGTCTGTTTTAGGAGTTTTAGTTAAGATAATTGGTTTTGGTGAAGTTTATTTATACATTACATTAACACAGTATAAGGGATTAAAAGTGTTTATTTACCAACTTTTGCTTAGAGATGTGTTGCCTCTGTTCTTTTTATTGTGGAGTCTGCTCATACCTTCTAGTGTCTCACCCTCAGGGGGGTCATTATACTCATTTGTATTTATGCAGAACATAATAGCGAACACTGAGTACTGAGTTTTTTGAAGACATTTTTGCAGCGTGAGCTTTAAAGACCGAGCATGGGTAATAGTGAGTGAACTTGTAATGAGGGATAAACTATGCACACATTGTTGTTTCCTGTTGGTGTAACATAACAGGGATTCATCCTTCTGGGCCGATAGACTGTCTACATGAGGCAATATGAATACGTACTGTGTGTTTTTTTTTTTTTAAAGTAATGCAAAAATAACACTCAGGAGTGACTGAATATAATCAATCCCCTGATCCCCCATCGTTCCTACCTTTCCATTAGAAGATATCTGTCAGACGACTTCTTTAATCCCTGTATTCTATGAATATGAATTACGGGCATTACTCTGTGCAAACTCAGAGATTTTTTTCTCTCTCATCTCGCCAGGTCCAATGTGTGATGAGCCAGCAGAAGGAAAGAGGAAAGGTCGTCCCAAAGCAGAAGTGCAGGAACTCAGAAGCATCCCTGTGAGTATTTCTCTTTGAACTGTGTGGGTGTTTGAAGTGGGCTTCACTTTTCTTGCACAGAGTAGGCAGCTTCCTATGAATATGCACAATATGCAGCACAGTATAGCGTTCATGTATTCAATTCTCTCTTCCTCACCCCCGAGCAGGCCCATATGATAGTGCAATGGAAGGAAGAGTTTAAGCGCCGCTCCAGGGTTAAGTGTCCGTGTTCAGGCTGCTGGTTAGAGTTTCCCAGCATCTATGGCGTCAAGTACCACTATCAACGCTGCCAGGGGGTGAGTTACTAATCTCTGCTCTTTCCTGCTATGCAGCTATTTTCACTTTATGCTTCAAAGTAGATTTTAATAGCAGATTACTGTTAAGTACTGCAGAAAACCCTCAAATAAACATAATATCCTGTGAGAAATGAGTGGGGAAATTCATTAAAACTTATCGAGAATTAACTTTTCTCAAATAATTAATCCTTATTGACCATACGTGATAAGCTGGGCTGGGTAATCTACCTGTGAAGAGTTAACTAAAGGTTTCTATTAACAGCTACCAACTGTCATCTGTCTTTGCATTGATAGGAAGCTGACTCTAAATCCCCTCTCCTCATCTCTGTGTTCGTATCAGGCCACTGTAGCTGAGAAGCTGAGTCATGGCTGCCCCTACTGTGAGGCAGTGTTCGCCTCAAAGGTCCGCCTGCAGAAGCACAAGCTGTGGAACCATCCTGACAGGGTTACTATGGAGCCCAAGGATGAGCAGCAAAAACTTCAAAAGGCTCCTGTCAAGTCTAACACCAAGAAAAGGTGACTGGGATTTAGAGTTCAAATTCCCACCCACACTGACCCACATAATGGTGTTAGTAAGGTCCTCATGCTGACTTCCCAAAACTGTCCTCCCTCGGTCTGTGATCCAGGCCCATGGAGAACAGCCCCCCCTCTCCTGTGTTCTTCAAAGTGAAAAAGACCCACGAGGTGTCCACGCCCTCTCAGAACGGGGAGCTGGCCCACCAGAGGAGTGAGAGGAAACAGCACAGTCACGGCCAGCCTTCACAGCAGATTCACCAGTCTCAGCCAGTCTTTCCTCAGTCCCAGCAGTCACAGTCCCAGAGCACGTCATCCGATGCAGGGGGCAGTGAGAGTGAGGGGGGAAGTCTTCCCCCTTCTTACCTAGATGAAGACCCAGAGCGAATGAAGCACAGTAAGATTACAGCATATCTCTTGTCATGGACGTCATATTCTCATCACACTTGCACAAAACGTGTTTGACCATTCCTTGCTCTGTTTTTCTCTTGAGCCAGGACGGAAGCAGAAAACTCCCAAGAAATTCACTGGAGAGCAGCCTTCTATATCTGGAACATTTGGATTGAAAGGTAAAAACTGTTACATTTCTATCACAAATATATTAAAAAATATTTTATATTTATTATGACTTTCTCTCAGTGTTAATAAACCTTTCAAAGTATTTTCGTTAACCTATAGCAGTCTCTGAATGCTGGTGTAACAGGTTCTGCTGTTACAGAGGAAATTGATTTATTAGTCTTGAGTGCAGCATATTTGCATGTGTCCCCTTAATGTCAGGCACACAGAGAGGTTTGGTGAAGACAGTGACAGGGCCAGTAAAATCTTTTTTATGGTCCACCGATGCAATGGTCAACTTTAGTTTTCACTGGCCAACTGATGCAGGGACCCATCAGGATTTGTCCCAGTATTCCCTAGAGTCAGTCTAACCATGAACCAGGGAGAAAAGTTGTCTCAAATGATGCATTCAAAGACAGTCTGAAAAAATGCGAGAGACTCGCTACAGTAACCCAGTCAGCTAACTAGTTGCCAACAGGAAAGTGGGCTCTTTCCAGAGATTTTGGTAAGAAGCCAAATGCGGTTACGCTATATGAAATTAATGGGTATATTAGAAAATGACCCTGTTAATAAGTTAATAAAATAAATTGTGGAGAATAGATCATTTAGATATAGATTCATCACTGATTGCTCACAAAGCAGCAGGCCTCAGGACCTTTCTGATATACTGAATAATGGAAACCTTTGGAGGACAATAGAACCATTGCTAAAGTATAGGGGTGGGGACTGTGGAGGGCCTGTTTTGCCATATCATATGATTGGTTATGTGAGTATAACTATTGATTTAAGAGCTAGTGTGGCAACTGCAGAGATGTTTCATAGGCTACAAAATGAATCAAGCTCACATCACATTCACACACTTTTAAATGTTCGGTGACTCATAAAGTAAACTTCTTACCAGCATTTATCAAACAAATCCTCCCCATCGCTGTTTTCTTTTAGTCTGCTTGTCACTGTTCTGGTGTGACTCATTTCCAATCTCTCTTTTTTTCTCTCTCTTTCTTTCTCTCGCTCTCTGTCTCTCTTTCTCACAGTTTTTTTAAATTCAGTCTCAACCTTTAAGAATTTCTCTTGTTCAGCATTGTCCTCCGACCGTCATTCTCTGCTTACGTATCTCACTTTACCTTGAATACTTTCAATGGGAGTATTAATTGCTGCACTGTGTGTGTGTGCGTGCGTGCGTGCGTGTGTGCATGCGCACTTGTGTTTGTGTGTGCGTGCGTGTGTTAGGTATGACTAAGGTAGAGGAAAAGCTAAAAGCAGGTCGTGCAAAGAGACCAGAGGGGACTGGGTTCAGTGAGGAGCCGCAGAGAAGACCCACTTCAAGTCAGTCCTCCAAGAAAGACCCGGCCACAACAAGCTCTGGTAAATTTCTATGTCAACTTTATAAGGGATACAATTTGTTGATTTATATTTATTTATTTAAACAAAACTGATGTCATGCCACCTTCTAAGAGGTTTTCTCAAGCCCCAATAACCTATGTAAAACTATTATAGGAATACAACTAATGATTAATTTCATTAGAGATTAATGTCTCAATTGTGTCTTCATTATATGTTCATTTAATCAATTAATCAGTTGTGTCATAACCACAAAGTTGTCAAATTACAAAGATCAATCAATCAGTCAATCAATCAGTCATGTCTGAAGACTAGTTTCAAACTGTAAACTGATAAAGCATTTGGTCGCAACTCCGCTTATTGACTATTTCAAAACTTGGTGCTATGGAAATAATTTGGTCAGTTTATTCACATTTGTTGCCTTGCCATAAGTTCTGATAGGCCAAGGAACAAAATGTCTGTGTTGATATTTATGTTATGCCCATAGGGATATAACACCAGTAAGGCTTGATTGGATACTTGACAGAATGCTTTTAACTTGTTTCTAAGGTGCTGTTCCCGACACCCAGTGGCAACGAGCAATCTCAGAGCGGGGTGAAGTGGTGTGTCCCACCTGCTCCATCGTCACCAGGAAAACAATCCACGGCCTCAAGAAACACATGGAGATTTGCCAGAAGGTCAGTGGGTGACACAGCCATCCATCAGACTGCAGCGTGGGTGGGTGTGCTGTCATAGTCTCTGGTGAAGCTTCCTGTGAAACCTATAAAGAGTTTTCTCATGAGAATATAAACTGTCTTTCTCAGAGAATCGCACCAATAGAAGCTTGATATGACTGCATTTGCTTCTGGAGGAGTCTGCCTGTTGAAAATGTATTGCATCAATGTCGTTAATGTTATAGCATCATGTAAGTCAGCAGGAAAGACGTCTTAAAGGAGACATTTTATGCTTTTTACATTTCCCCCTTTCCTCTAGTGCATTATAAAATTTTATTTAAAAGTTCTGCAAAGTTAAAAAGCCCAAAGTCTGTGGAAAAGTGAGCTCCTCTCCCCCCACAGAAAACTCTGCTCCCGAAGCTCCTGAGACTACTCGTTAATAGTCCAGCATTTACAGGGAATCATGATGTCAACGAGAACGAGAGCGGAGGCTGACATCTACATTCATGTGCTGGAAGTGGTTGACCAATCACAACAGAGGCTTAATGTCTGTTAAGAAGACAGCAGCTAGAGCGTCTCAGACAGAGGCTGAAAGGCGGTGCAGCAGCAATGGACAGTATGAGCAACGTGATATGTTTACTGAATATTAGAGCATGTTAACCTTCTCAAGTAAAATTTCTTACCTGAATATGAGCATAATATTTAAAACTGTACTGTTCTTATACAATTCTGTGTAACATGTGACACTGCAATGCCTGATGTGCTGTACAGTAGCCTATTTGACACCAGTCTCAAAAACCAGTTTACATATTGACAAGTCGTCTCCATTCCATAATTATTGGGGGGGGGGGGGTTATCTCAGTGTGAAATGTGTCTCCACATTGGATTATGACTCTGACTGCAGTGTTATTAGATAGCTCTCCCTGAGGTGCCCATTGTGAAGAGTCTTGGGAGCCTTTACAGTAAAGATATTGATTGGAGGGCTGAAGAAATAACATCAGGCATTATCTCAGTTCAGTAATCTCAGCCATGTAATATCCTTCACTCATCTGCACTGATATGAAAGCTAATATCAGTTGGAACGGTTAACAGAGGAGGGCACTGTGCTCTTCTGTGATTTGTTTACATTGCACTCAATTGTGGTCAATAGTAATAATAAAGGAGGTTGGGGTGACACATGGAGAAAGTAAAACGTCTGCACTACATTGAGCTCATCCTGAGGACGAGTCAGCGTGTTGAGTGGTGCAGTCGCCTCTGGGCCCTCGGAGAGAAGTGTTCCTACAGCCATTTTAATGGCTCAGTCACCCAGTGGCCCATGTGTCATTAAAGTGACAGCCTGCCATTAAGTAATGACAGAATCACCACATTACCACTGGGTCACTCACCATCAAAACTGCGCTGTCTCCAAATCAATACTGAGGCGAGGAGGGAAGTCTATAGAACAGAACACTGCGCTTATCATTGGCTTTTTCTGGTTCCCAAAGTTTCTCGATTATGTCCTTGTCCTTTATTTTGACCATAATTGTTCACTAATAAAAAACTCTATTAGGTTACAGGTCAAATTTTGTTAAATTGATGGATTCAATAAAGCCAGCAAGAGTGGGCTACTTGTTTGTTTCCTTTCATAGAAATGTTATGTGATCCTCTGTTTGGCCTTCATCCTCTGCAGCTCCAAGACGCCCTGAAGTGCCAGCAGTGCCACAAACAGTTCAGATCCAAGGCCGGCCTCAACTACCACACCATGGCTGAACACAGCACCAAGGTACACCCTCTGAAGCCAGCGTCAAAAATTCAGATACTAAGCTTTAAAGTAGGCTGACAGTGTGACTACTTTTAATCTGCCCCGTAATCACTCAGTATTCAGTATCCAGATGGTTAGCAAATGTTTCACCACTGTCACACTGATCCACTGAAGAGGGGTCGTTAGTTTTTAGTTACCTCACCAAAGCACTTCACCTATTCAGGGGTTGTTCAAACTTGCACTTGTGACTCTATTTTAGAAATCCACCATATCTAATGCTGGTGTCAGCTTTCACTGGGCTCGATTAGTGCTGTCTTAGATGTCATCCCATATAGATACACCTACAGATTCAAAAACCCATTCATTTCCGGTGAACCACCACTTCATCGTGTCTGTTTCATATTCACTGTCAGCTGCTGAGCCCCTCGCTAAAAAAATGTGATCTCGGGGTCTGTGAACGATGATACATTTGAACTGGTGATTGGTATTCTTGTCCTGGAAGTGCTCACATTTCTTTCTTCAGCTGTCTTAACTCTGACAGCAGAGAGCTTCATTAAGATATTATCATGACACTCCTGCATTAGAGCAATGGCACTGCCATGAAGTTTGCTGAATAATTCAACGCTGCCTGTTTCAAAAAGTATCATGAAAGATTAATGTATGAACGTGCAGCAAACCTAGTGATGTGAAGAGTTTTAATCTGAGCAAATTTTTCTGTAGTATTCATGATATATGTTCACATGAATGAATACGAGTGTCCGAGTATGTGCATGTTTTGGGTGTGTGTTGTTTGCCAGTTTGACATTGATAATAGATGACTGTGCCATCTGTGTCGGCCAAGCTAAAGTGTTTGATACTGCCATTTGTCTTCAGTGTGGACCTGTTGTGTCCTGACCTTATTAGCCCCATCTCAGCAGAGGAAAAGACAGCACTGTGTGTGTGTGTGTGTGTGTGTGTGTGTGTGTGTGTGTGTGTGTGTGTGTGTGCGTTTGTGTGTGTACGTGTGTGTGTGTGTGTGTGTGTGTGTGTTAAACTAAGATGATCAGTTTTCCTCAGAAAAATACTAAACTTTTGCAACTTGTGTTTCTTTTGTGTTGATTTATTCTTAAATGTGTGTTAGTGTTTTGATGGTTGCGATTGTTCAACAAAAGGTTTTACCATTTGTAGGATTGGACAATGTCATACTACAAGTATTGTAGTTTATTTGTGGCCATGTTATGTTGTTTATATTGCAGACACTGTTTTTTTCCCACATATGTAAAAAGAGACAATTATATTGTGTCTTTAAGTGGACACAATGTTTTTCTCGGTATAAAGGTTCATGTTATTTGTCTTGTTTGTGTCCATGGTCACAAAATGACATAATAACAGAGTTGTTGTCCACACAGCAGTGGCAGTGTATTGTTCAAGTCTGTGGGGAAAGTTCCTGTACATTGGTGTAGAAGTGTCTTCATATATGGGACTCATTCATTTTATTCTTTTTTTCTACTGCTTTTGTGTTTTTGTCTGTGTTAATGTTGCTGGTTGTGTTACCATTTGTGTTGAATCATTCCTCTCTTCAGTCTGGTATGTGAAGTGAAGTTTGATTTGATTTTATATGATTTAATTTGGCGTATGCCCTGACCCCAAGTCCAGTGTTTTGTCAGTGCACATGGTCACATGGACTAGCCCCAGTGCAGTGTGGAAAAACACAGTGTGCTGACAGGGGTCACCCGCTGATTTTGACCTTGATGTCGCAGTTGCGATTGTGATCCTGCCATCTATTCTGTCAGAGGCGTGCTCAGTCTTTGAGTGGGAGAGGCATTAATACATGCAGATGTTGTCCCATGGTTTACTCCACTGCCAGTGTAAATGAAAGGCTGGGCTTGTGTCTGTTTTTCTGCCAGCAGGCTTGAGCGTGACTTACTTGAATTAGTGAAGGACTGGCGGTATCTCATCTTCTCTTTTAACTTTACAGAAAGCTAGGGTTGTGTCGTCTTACTTCTTTCTCTGTGTGTTCACACATGAGAAAACACATGAAGTTCACTCCTCCGGGATTCCTAAGTCCAGACTCTCTCTCTAGTCCCCTGTACTTCTCGTCTTCCCGCTCCCTGGCAGCTCCACCATCTGTTGTTCTGGTCTTGGCTGGGTTTTTGGCACCAGCATGCACCCGAGTGAAAACATGAGTTTGACAGTTGTCATAAACATGCCTTGAGAAACAGCCTCACCATGAAACCATTTAATGATCCTGGCACAGTGAGAACGCAGTTGATGGAAAACACATTTCCATCACCATTTTCTGAAAGTTATTAGGCAGAGGGCGATGTTGTGGTGGGATATACATATGCGCCATTGTGTTTGTTGCCCCTCAGCCCTCAAGGAGCGAAGGCCAGACGGGCGACGAGCATGAGGAGAGAGAAAGGCTGCGCCGAGTTCTCAAACAGATGGGACGAATCAAGTGTCCCAGTGAGGTATGCACTGCTTCTTTCTTACTGACCCTTTCTATTTTTTTCCTCTATTTTTTTTTTCACTTTTACTTTTCTTTGTCCTTCATTTCCATTTGTCCAACTTTCTTGTCTTTCAAGCCACATTTTCCTCTCTCTGAAAACGCCAGTTTCGATTTTGTTCCTCCCTTTTCCTCAGGCTCCTTTTTTTGTGTCCGCCTCCTTCTAGCGCTCTGCCTCCTTTTCCCTTTATGCCTTGTTCTTGACACGTTGCCCAAAACCACATCAACACTCTGCTTCCCATTACTCACACTGGAGTGCAAAAGGCAGAGAGAGGAGGAGAGAGAGCTGCGAAAAATAGACTCAGCTACAGTGACGTCTTCACACAGAAAAATGAGCCGTTTCCTCATGTTTCTCTGTTTTTTTAAGTGGAACCACATAATAATCACCAAGTGCTCTAATATTGTTCCATTAAACCTACACTTTGTTTTACTTACCCACTTTCCTACTTAATGTTTGTTTTAATTCTGTCCTATTTCTGTCACTGGCCTCACACAATCATATACACATTATGTGTGCAAACACACACACACATTTACAGGGCTGCTCAGCCCACTTTTCCAGTCTGATGGGCTACCAGTACCACCAGAAGCGTTGTGGAGGAGAGTTGTCTGATGATGAGAAGCCTGTGTTTATGTGCCAGCACTGTGGAAAAACCTACCGCTCCAAGGCTGGCAGAGACTACCATGTGCGTACTGAACACCCCCCGACCATCACCACCATGACAGCCACCACTTACAACTACAAGGACAATATAACTGACACCAACAACAACACCGGCAAAGAAAGGGTAAGAAAATAGTGACAGTAGTTTATTTAGGAAACAGCTGCTTGTCACTGTTTTGTTTATAGATGTATTTTTGTATATTTAGCAAAACAAGTAGTACCCTTTAAGTAGCCACAGTCTCTCCACTTTTTTTAAGCAGAGGGGCGTCCCACCGCTCCACCAGGTGGTCCCTGAGGAGGCTCCATCAGGAGGCCAGAAGCAGCAGAACCAGTCTGAGAAGACGGACTGGCAAGAGAAGGCACCTCCCGTCTGCCACCCTAAGGAGAAGCAAAGGGAAGCCAGGCAGAAGGACAGGGAAAAAGAAAAGGGGAGGGAGCGAGACAATGAAAGAGCAGTGGAGGACTTTGAAAGGACCCCCAGTGGCAGAGTGAGGCGCCGGTCGGCTCAGGTGGCAGTGTTCCACCTGCAGGAGATAGCAGAGGATGAGCTGGCCAAAGACTGGGGCACTAAGCGGCGCATCAAGGACGACCTGGTACCTGACAGCAAGAGGGTGAGTACATAAAGTGGATAAGTATTCAGTTTACGAAGAAGGAAGGTGCTGCAGTGGCTTTAACTCTCTTAAAGGAGGCAGGTGGAAGTACAAACAACAAGATCCAAAAAGTCATGCTTAATGTTGAGTAATGCAGAGAATCATGGCAAAAAACTAAAAATGTATTCAGCCTCAAGTTAAGTTTTATTAATATTTGATTCTCAAGCATACTGGCAGACACACAGACCAACGTGTAGGTCTTCATCTTCATCAGGGTCAGACAAACACATAATCTGTTCAAATTACATCCCAGCTGTGGACGACAACAGCTGTGGCCTAGTCAATACACCATAGCAATAAATCTCGAGCCCTGCCCCCTACATGCCAAAATGTACAATAATGAGAGATGCATACTCGGCTCACACACAGGAACAGAGATACCTGTACATCAGCATTTTGGACTGCAAGAAGATATCTCCATGAAAAAAATGAAAACTATACAACAAAAAAGATTACACAGTGACATGCATCAACCTTTCCATGAAAATGTAAAAGGTGAAACCAGGAGATAAAAACGTTCCCCAGACTCCTCTATACTCGGTAAATGGTGAAATTATCAGGAATAATGATACACGTGTTTTTCCTTTTGTATAGTTAAACTACACGCGACCTGGCCTCCCCAATTTCAGCCCAGAGCTACTAGAGACCTGGAAGAACCAAGTCAAGGAGAAGGGCTTCATCTGCTGCAGCAATGAAGTAAGAGCATAAACTGGCTTAATGTGTCACCATATACAGAACATTTCCATAACGACAAAACACTGAATCAAAGATTTGTCTCAATCTCTAAAATTGTTTCCCAGGGATATGGATGGGATGAGTTTGTTTAATTCAATTCAACTTTATTTGTATAGCACCAAATCATTGCATACTTTATCTCAAGGCACTTTACAAAGTAAAGTCGTGACATTCAAATGTATAGAGAAACCCAACAGTTCCCACAATGAGCAGTAGTTTGGTGGAGGAAACCTCTGGTAGAACCACACTCAATGTGGGCGGCCATCTGCCTCGACCGGTTGGGTTGAGCGGAGAAAAACGGGGAAGAGAGGAGAGATGGGTGGAAAAGAGGGGAAAGAGGAGAGCTAGATGGGGAGGAGAGAGACCAGGAACAGTTGTGTAACCATCATATCAAAGCTCTGTCAGACTGGGTGTTATAATGAAAACCATAAGAGGGAAAAGTATAGATGTAAAGATGTTATTTGTATGTTCACTCTTGATTTCTGTTTTGTCTCAGAACTGTGAAGCTGTGTATTCCAGTGTGTCGGGACTTAAAGCTCACCTTGCCAACTGCAGCCAGGTACAAACACCCACCTGGACCTAAGACACTGGCCTGATCACATTTGTCTCTACACACTAAAGAAAAAAAATTTGTCAAACACACACAAAGTACGTTTGACGGAAAATGAAAATGAATGAGGTAATAGAGACAATATTATTTAGAAGAGTCTCAAAACACATAACCTGATTTGTAAAGATAGTATGTGTTCATTGTATCAACACAGGATAGCAATACATCATAAATAACTTCTGGTTAAAAAAATTGCTGGTGTATGTTGCCTAATCTGGCGTTTAACAGGTGACATGCTGTGGATTATATGTTAATGACTGCAGTGTGTGTGTGTGTGGGTGTGTTTCTGTGTGTTGCAGGGTGGTGGAGAACTGGGGAAGTACATGTGTCTGATCTGTCAGAAGGAGTTTAGTTCAGAGAGCGGTGTGAAGTACCACATCAGCAAGACACACTCACAGGTGGGTCAGTCTCAGTCTAAATTTCACAGATAGACTTATAACAAACAGCAGTGTCACTTAGTATCACGTCCACAGGAGGCATTTCCATTTCTGTTCATACACAGTAAAAGTATATAGTCAGATGAGATTGCCCATGTTACGGTAATCAGCGACTTCCTGAACCAAATTTCTGCAGGTCTTGTTGCAATACTAATATTTTTCTGCTTGAATACAGTATATGTATTGCTTGTTCAATATACTGATTATACATTATTGCCATATTTCGTGGAATAGGAATGGTAAAAATACTCCAAGATCTGCCCGTTTATCTGAATCTGCTCCAATATTTAATGGGTTCTTCCTCTAGTCATTCCCTCCCTCTCTGCAAATAGTACTCTATTCGTACATGGAGGTTTACCCCACTAATTACAGCTGTATATGGTTATATACATGCTCCTGCTTGTGATATTCACTAACTCACCTTTTTCCGCTTCAGAACTGGTTTCGTGCAGCAGCCACTGAAGTGGTCTCCAGTAGCAAGAGCAAAGCACCGGAGGATAACGGGATCAAACCTGAGGTGAGGAACTGTGCCACCACTGGTAAGAAGAGGGGCCGCAAGCCCAAAGAGCGCCCCTCTGTGATCGCGCCTCTTCAAACAAACACTGAAGCACCTGCCGCCACTCAAAATTCAACCCTTGCCGTGACTCCTACCTTGGGCCCAACACAATCTCCGACCTTGATCCCCGACCCAACGGACAATGCTAGTTCAGGCCAAAACAGACAGTCCGTCCCCTCGGCCACCCGGCGAAGCAAACCCAAGAGGCTGTCTTTATCAGAGTAATTCTGCTTTCGTCGCCCCAGGAGACAGAGAGGAAGCTCAATGTAAATGTTATGTCAAGGACTTGGCACTGAGAAGAAGGTTAAAACAGCCATTAAGAAGTAAAACACAATCCCCAGAGTTTAATGTGTCTATTGTTGAAAACAATACTCATGTAACAGTAGTGTTTTATTTCTCCATTCCACTTTATCTTTTTCAAGGCACACATTTCAGTATCTGTACTCACAGCAGGGGGTGACAGTCGTAATGAAAGATTAAATCCTAGGTAGATTTTCTAAACAGAGGTAGTATTCCAAACAAATGGAGAGCAAATCTCTTTACAAGATTCATGTTATGTTTGACAGGTTTTTAAAAAGATATTCTATTAGCATGGTGAAGCCTTTAATGATAGCTACTGTTTTCACATTTTTCACAGAT